ATAGATAGATAGATAGATAGATAGATAGATAGATAGATAGATAGATATAGACAGATACATATAGATGATAGAGATAGATAGATAGAGATGATAGAGATAGATATAGACCAGGGGTGTCCAACCTTGGCAACTTTAAGACTTGTGGACTTCAACTCCCAGAATTCCTCAGCCAGCAAAGCGATTCGCCGTATTATGTTGTAGCTTGCTCCACCAAGCTACACTAGTTTCCCTCACCAATACTGGCAGGGCACACTGTCATATACAAATAGGGAGCAAACCCCACACTCCTTTGCACTGATGATGCTACCTAGTTGGGTCATGAAATGTCTGCAGGAAAACAACCAAGCTCAGAGAGTACCGAGAACCTCACACTCCTCCTCTCCCCCTTCCTTCTTCTTCTCCTCTTCCTCCTCCTTTAATACTGATGATGCTACCTAGTTGGGTTGTGAAATGTCTGCAGGAAAACAACCAAGCTCAGAGAGTACTGAGGAACTCACAGCCCTCCTCCTCCCCGTCCTTCTTCCCCTCTTCCTCCCCAACCCTCTCATTGCAAACCCTACTCGCTGCTAGCACTAATGATGTTCCCTAGTTGGGTCCTGAAACGTCTGCAAGACAACAACCAAGTTCAGAGACCACCAAGGACCTCACGGTTCTTGCAGATATCCTCTTCTGTTGAATGTATTGATTGATCTCTCCAATTCCGACCACCTTCCTTTGCAGGTACGCTGATCTTTGTGGCAGGTTTCTTCTTCGCGCGACGGTCCGTTAGCCGGGTCCTCCTCCTCCGTGGCAGTCAGGAGGTGACTTTTACGACCTATTACCTCTTTGGCTACACTTCATCCTTCACAGTGCCCCTTCGCCACATCAGCTGCATGTCCCACCGTTCAGAAGTGGCTGCAATCATCCCAGTCAAGATCAAAGGGAAACCTTTTTATTTCTTGCTGGACAAACAGGGATCGATCACCAGCAATCCACTATTTGACATCACCGTGGGCGCCTATCGGGAATGGTGAGGTCTGTTTTCCAGGGGCCATGAGGCCACGACCTGCCCAGAGGCTGCTGGAAGAGAGAAGAGGAAAAATGCAGACATTAAAATCCAGAATTGACAGCTCCTTCCCTGTGGAAACATTTGACTTATATCCTCACCCTTCTGCTCTTTAAATTTAAAAAAGAAAGAAAGAAAGACCCTAAAAATAGGACACTAAGAGGGCGAGAAGGATGTTCTTTTACTCGAATTGTACTCCAGCCTGCTTGTTAAAAATATAGAAAGCCTCTGGTTTCAAATGCGTGTCGTCTCGTCACCCAAGGTGGTAGGGACTCGTAATGTGAATTTAAATAGGAATATAAATACATTTTGCCCAGCAATGCCGATGCTGTGTGTCACCAAAGGTGTTGGGTGCTCATGTGTGAACTTAACGTGAATTGATATATGAATATCTTTATCAATTTTGCCCAGCAATGCCGATACTGGGTGTAAAAAAATATAAAAAGCATCTTTTTTTTTCCAAATATGTGTCTTGTCACCAAGGGTGGTACTAGGGACTATCTCTCTGTCTCCTATCTTCATTTATCCCTCTATATCTAATCTATTTCTCTATCTATCTATCTATCCATCTCATTCTATTATCTATATTATTCTAATCTATCCCTTTATGTCTGTCTGTCTGTCTGTCTATCTATCTAATCTATCTGTCTATCTATCTATCTATCATCTATCTATCTATCTATCTATCTATCTATCTATCTATCTATCTATCTAATTTATCTATCATCTATGTATGTCTATCTATCTCTGTCTATCTGTCTATCTATCTATCTATCTATCTATCTAATCTATCTATCTAATCTATCTATCTAATCTATCTTATTTATCTATCATCTATCTCTATCTATCTATCTATCTATCCATCTATCATCTATCTATCTATCATCTATCTATCTATCTATCTATCTATCTATCTATCTATCTATCTATCTATCTATCATCTCTCTTATCTCTCTGCTTACCTACCTACTTCTCTCTCTCTTCTATCAATCTATCTATCCATCTATCCATCCATCCATCCATCCATCCATCCATCCATTTATCTATCTATCTATCTATCTATCTATCTATCTATCTATCTATCTAT